GGACCCCCCCCCCGTTCAAGGCGCCCCAGCACCCAAAGTCCCTCTAAGTTCGAGGACGCTGGCCGTCTGCCGGCCGAGGTTTGGGAAGGAGGGGACAGCCCGTCACGCGTCCTGTGCTTTCCTTCGACGTTGTTCGTAACAATAGCCAGCACTGGCTGGATCAGCAGATCCCTTTTTTTTTAATCAGCTACTCTGTGCCCCGCACTGTGCTCTGGGGTTTGTAACATTACCCATTAATCCCACCACATCCCTGCGAGGTACCTATCTTTATCCCACATTTTTAGGTAACAAAGACTGAGGCTTAGGGAGGTGGAATTAATTGCCAGGAGATCACCCAGGGGATAACAGCCAGAGCCAGAACTTAAGCGCAAGTCTGACTCCAAGGCTCTTGCTCTTAAATATGACATCGTTCTTTCCGTCTCTCTTTGAAAATGAACCACCTGATCCCACCAAAAGCAAAAACAAAACCAACACAAAACCCACAAAACTGCTGAACCGGAGCCGGCCCCACGCATCTAGTCTCTGGCGCATGGGAGGCAAGCAAGGTTAACCTTCCGATTTCCCCTGACCCCTGGCTGAGCCTCTCTGAGAAATCACTTGTTGGAAGCACCTGGAACAAGTGGACAGGGGAGGGGGCTGTGAAAGCGGCCATTCCTCCTTCCAAAGGTCCTGAGACTGCTGCCTGTAGGCTCCTAGAAAACAGAGCCGTGCCCAGGAAGACTGAGACTACCTGGCCAGGGTGGTAGCAGGACTAGAGCCTGGAATCAGTGCCCTCTTGCTTTCCAGCAAAACTTCTGTTTTACTTCTTTGACTCTGTTGTATTAAAAACGCACCTCCTGTAAGCCTTCCCTGGCCCATTTTACCCCTAATTGTCTTTCTAATCTGAATTCCCCAATCAGTGTTGTTTCTGCTGTACTATGTTTTCCTTTTGTGACACTCTCCACTCTGTGCCCCCTTGACAGAGACAAATCAGGCTCTTGCACTGGTTCATTTTGTATCTGTGATGTTTGTTTTACGTAACTCACGCTTATCAGAGCTAAGGTAAGCCTGTTGCAGGCAGGGACCAATCCATCACTTCGCCATCCACTCTGAGCTCAGTACCAAACACAAAGCAGGTGCTGTAAACAGGATTCTTGAATTAATAACAGGATAAAAAAATCCATATGTTGTCTTCTGTCCCCAGAGTTGAATTGACAAGTGGTAGAGAGATGATCCTGTAACTTCTGTTTTTTATTGTTATACCATTGCACACAACAGTTAATCAGTGAAGCAAAACATATTAGCCATGTGGGAAGTGGAAGAGAAACAACAATAATAATAATGGCACCCAGCATTATTAATTTTTTGAATTGGATTCTTTAAGGTTATTGTCAGCAAAGTTGTCACACACCTCTAAGCTATCCTTCTGAAATTCCTTCTTTGGCTTCTCCTTTTTTGACCATTTTTTTTTGTATATTATTATTATGAGGGATTCTAATTCTATGTTCCTTTTTTTTCACTCTCAGGTTCTTTTTGAGAACTCTCAGTACACCATGCCTTCAATTATCACCAAGGGTTTGCAAACTTCTAAACAAAGCTCAGTCTCCCTTTGGAGCTGGAATTTCATTTTTCCAACTGTTTACTGGCTTCTCTAGTAGATATACCTGAACTAGAATTCATTCTTGCTTTTTCCTACTCTCCACCTAAATCCATACCTGACTGCGAGTCTTGTTGGATGTCACCCACCGTCCAGCTAGGTGCCTCACTCCCTACATCCACCGCCGACACACCTCTCATATCCATCCCCTGCTCTCCATCTGTATCCCACTGGCTGGCTTCAGCTCCTCATCGCAGCTCACCTGTGATTATGACCGCTGTCTCCTCTCGGATCTCCATGCGGTCCATCTCACCCCCAAATTTCTATTCTCCATAGTGAAACCAAAATAACCTTTCTAAAAGGAAAACCTGAACCCATCTCTCACTAACCTAAACATTTCAGATGCACCATCTCAGAGAAATAAACTTACAACAAACAAGGCTCTCTGTAATCTGGCTTATCTGCCTTTCTGCCCCCAAATCCCCACCAGCCCCCCAGAAAACACCTTTGCTGGTGGTCTTGAACGCTAAAGCAGAATCTCTGGAGGTGGGCTAGGTTCCAGAATGTGCATTTTACAGACACCCCCCCTCCCCAGATGAGTCTTATGAAAGACTGTTAGACTGCAAACAAGCTCCCCAGGATGGTTACTCACTCATCTGGGAGCTCTAGTGTTTTAGCCCAGTGCCTACACCCAGCAGATTCTCAATGCCCAGAAAGGGCCACATGACATTTATGTTGCCAGTGGGGAAATGTTTCAGAGAAATAAAGTCATTAGCCCAAGGTAATACAACTTTTAGATGGTGGTGCCAGTGTGTAAACCCAGGTCTTCAAATGGCAAGCTCTGAGCTACTAGTCTGGTGTTAGAAAAAAATGTTTGCACACATAATATATACACGTACACGATACACCAATAAAAGCTTGTTGCCTAATAAACTGCCAGCCTTAATGTCCCCAGCCTACATAAGTGAAATTGCCCCCCACCAACCTCTGCTCAGTATTAGTTAATTGTTTTCCAGAGGGGTAACTTATTGGACCAGGATGGGCACGTGACACGAAGGTAAGCCAGTTTATAGCACCCAGGGCATGGCAAAAAGATCACCTGGTGAAGCAAATTTTCATTCTCAAAACTTTTAGTTAGGAAATGCTAAGGGGAAAAGGCAGTGAAAAATGGTAATTGAAACCAAAGGACATAAGAAGGAGTCATAGGGGCCATGAGTCTCATAATACATATTGCAGGGAATATATAGCTATATATATGTGCACATATATACCCAGACATGTGTACATAGGGCTACATGTTCCCTGGTGTATGTTTATGGCTATATATAT